CACACTGCAGTGTGGGGCTTCTGGGGCCTGGGACAGGCAGCAGCCCTCCTGTGCAGGTACCTTTCCCTACCCCTGCTCACCTGAGCACTCAGGGCTGTCAGCTTTGGCATGTGGTTTTCCTGAGGCCTCTGTGCTGATTTCTGTTGATCTCCTTGTGTTGCAGCTGTGAGGTGTGAGGCTGTAAGCTGGCCAGAAGAAGGCTCTGTGACCTGTGATCCTGCAGATCTCACCTATGGCTCACGCTGTGAGTTCCACTGCAATGAGGGCTACGTTGTGGATGGCCCATCCAGCACTGAGTGCACGGCACAGGGACAGTGGTCAGAGCCAACACCAAAATGCAAAGGTGAGACTTACTGGGTTGACAAATGGCAGTTTGCTGGTCACTGGGGAACACATTGAAATCCATATTCCTTTGGGGTCCTGGCTCCAGACTAAATTATGCTCCCATGTTTTCAGCTGTGAGTTGCCCTGCCTTAGAAATGCCTGCTCACAGTTCTGTGAACTGCTCCCATCCCAAAATCAAAAGAATTTGAAAATAAAGAGTACATCTACCAGTGCAAACAATAGTGCCAAAGGCAGGGAATTCCTTAATGACACTTAGCCATTTCTTTCTGTGTTTCAGTTGTACACTGTGAACCACTGAGCTCTCCTGAGAAAGGCTCTATGGATTGCTCACATGGTGCTGGGATGTTCACATACAACACCTCCTGCCACTTCAGCTGTCTTGAGGGATGGAATCTCAATGGCTCTCATGTTCTGGAGTGCAGTCACTCAGGAGCCTGGAGTGCCAGCCTGCCCACATGTGAAGGTATATTACCCGTGACTAACCACAGAGAGGTGGCACTGGGTTTCTAGTTAGATGAGGTGGGGAGGGGTGGTGGTGGTAATACCAGCCAGTGAGCCAGAACATCTAGTGAAGTCCATGAATTGAAGAAAATAGAGGAGGGGAAAAATACTAAAAGATCTTGATGAAAAATGTCGATTTCTTATCCAAAACCCAAAAGCTGCAACCTGATTTCAGGTTGTTTTGTTTGTTTTTTCATTAAAATATTTCTCATGTTGAGCTTTTTTCATATGAATAAAGACAAAGGCTTTTCTAGAGAAACGGAACCTTGTGGGAAACTCTGCATTCATCTGGTTTTCTGTGGAAAAGTTTATAGGTTTTTTAATTTAGTGTGATAGTTTCTTGGATGAACTCCTCAGCCAAAAGACCTCACAGAGCTTTTCTGTCAGGCTGCAGGTTCAAAGGACAGGAGGCTCAGCCTTGCCTTCTCATTCAAGGAAGTAAGAGCTCTGTCACTGTCCTCAGTGAGAACACCCTGAGCCTGCCTGAAATGCCTGAGGTCCTAAAACCTCAACTCCACTTACATTTGCTTGAGCAGAATTTAGATCCTTGAATAATTTCATTATCTCAACAGTACTGGTCAAAGAGGAAGATGGCACACAGGGAGTTGAAATATGAACTGAAACATGAAAAATAAAATGAGCACAAATTGCCATGTGAAGCTGGAGGTTAGACAGACCCTGGTGTAGGAGCTTGTTGCCTTGCCATTGCTTTGCAAATGGGTGGGTTAGTTTTTAGTATGCAGCTTTTTACCTTGTGTACAGGATATGTCCTGTCTCGTCAAGAGAAAACTTAAGGGTTACAAGCTGCAATTCTGATTCCTCTTGAAGAGCACAAGAAAAGGGAAGAAGTAGTAGAGAGGGCTTCAAAAACCACACAGGTCTCTTGATCTCACTGAAACCTTTTCATCCTTTCAGCTCCTGAGCTAGTCAGCTACTTTTCTGTGGGCATAGCAGCCACATCTGCCTCCCTGCTGTCCACGGCATCATTCCTCCTTTGGCTTGCAAAGCGCTTCCGAAGAAAAGGTGAGCAGTTGATCCGGGGCCACTGGTTTTATTTACCTTCCTGTGAAGTTTTCAGGGGAGAAAAAGGAATCAAAAAACCAAAAACTCCAAAGCCCTATACCTTGCTTTTTGAAAAAGTGTTAATTCCCGTCCTTTGACAAGTTCCAAATTTGTTTTCAAAGACCCACACGTGCCATGCCTGGCTTTTGGATGAACATCTGAAAAAGTGAAAAAATAGTAAAACACAAATGTGTAGAAAACAAGAATTAGATGAAAAAAGCAGCACTTTATTTATTGGTAACTGCTTCCAGGGAAAGTGAATGAGAATTTGAGATGGGGCTAATGGCACATTAATAACTGCCTGTGAGATTTATTGATAGATAATGACATTTTTTGAGATATTCAGAGTTTTTTAATAGAAGAAAATGTTTGCATGAGGGGGCTTTTGTCTTGAAATCTAATACCTTTTCTTATTCTTCTTGCAGCAAAGAAATTTATTCCCTTCAGGTAAGTTGTGTCTCAAAAAGCTACATGAAAAACAGTGCCATCCCTTTGCTAAAATCCGTTTGATATAAATCTGTTGTCATTAAAGTACTTTTCGTTCTGTATTTTACAGTAACCAGCATGAAACAGCCACTGAAGGTATTTTCCAAAGTGCTGGCCAGAATGTCTAGCTCAGGTGTTTCAGGTAAGTGCATGAGAAGGCTGCACTCCCAAATTCTCTTCCTTTTTATCACACAAGCAATCAGAGCTGCTAATTGCTATACCATTGCTGAAACAGCAATATGTGCTTTGGGGTACCTAATATGCATCTTGGCATTGCATGGAAATTCCTAACAAGACTGATGGATTTATTGCATTAGAAATAGTTATTCAGCTCCTTAAGGATGATTGTGCTTGGGGTTCTGTCCAGCTGCATATAGTATTAGTAACATTTTTGTGCAGTTTTGCTACCTGCTGCATACAAAATTCCTCTGAAATGAGAGCAAATACAAGTCTATGCCAATTTTCTGATTTATGGAGGAATTTTATTCTCTCTGCAGGAATGGAAGCCACCTTTGTCTCAGATTTCTGGAAAATGAAGCTGCATGCAAATCAGCAGCTGTCCAGATGTTTTTACCTCTTGCGATACAAAAGACCTTGTGTATTTGCTCAGAAATTTTGAGCTCAAGCTGTCGGGTATTTCCTCTGAAGACAAGCAGAGAGTAAAACTCTGGCCTTCTGGCAAAATACTGTCTACATTCAGTCATGTAGTTATGATAACTGGGAGCTTGCCATGTCCTGTCCAGATGGTGAGCAAAGAGTGTGCTGCTGCCTAAAGAGGAGGCTGGTTCCTCCTCTGCTCCACTCAAAGGTACCGAGGTGAAGTGAAGACATGCGTTATTTCACATCACTTACTACACTGCTGGAGGTGTCTTCTCTGGAGTCATATGGGTTATGCTGGCAGAAACAGAATAATCAGTATGAAAAAGTATTCATTGAATGGCTTTGAAACCATTGATCCTGGTTTTTGGAAGTCAGTTTTAGAGGATGTCCCAGTCAATAAATGTACCTGTGCAGACACTGGCAGTTATTTGGGTTTCTGCTGCATATCCCAAAAAACTTAGAGACTTTAAACCCACTGGTTTGGTTTTTTTGGTTTTTCTAATAATAGCACTAGGAACCATAGTGCTTATACAAGGTACTCTGGTTTCTGAAGGCAGCAGGTAGATCTGAAATTATCTCATCCCTGTGGGATTATGCACTGTAATACATGTATATACATATGTATTTAATTTTTAACTTTTACTGAGGATGTTTCTGTGCTGTTAACTGTAATGTAAAATACTTGTTCTTGAGTAGGTCTGTGGCCATTGATCTTGGCCCAAGTAATTTTAAAATAAATTGGAGGTGTTTGTATGGATTTCATGCCTGCATACTATTTGCAAATAAAATGGGAGCCTGAGATTTGTATGTCTAGAAAGTCTTTCTTAAATTATGTTTAAGTTATGATTATAAATTAAAAATCTCTGATTTAATCTGATATGTATTGTCCTGTTTGTAACATTATTTAATAAAATATTTTCAACGTAATGTTCCCTTTTTGGAAACGTGCATCATTTAAATGGTTTGGGTCAGCCCTGTGACTATGGCTTCAACTGCAGAATGTGAGGGCTGGGAGAAGACTGGCTAAACGTGGGGCTGTCCCTAATGGAGCTTTCCATGTTTCCATAGCGGTCAAGGACAGAGCAGCCAGCAGATGGAGCTGAGTGCCTGGAACTAGCACAGCCAGAGCTGGATCCCAAACCGGCATCCTCAGTCCTGAAAGGAAGAAGGCTCAGCAGTGTGTCCCATGAAGCTGTTGTCTGGACCAGCAGTGAGCTCTGAGAGGCGTATTCAGGAGGCAGAGGAGAGCAGAAGGAGAAGCAAGTAGGTGATGTCGTATAGGTAACAGTACAACCCCTCAGCCCATGCAGGTTTTTGCAGCCCTTTCTGCTGGGAAGTTGGCTGAGTGTGGGGGTCGTGGGCTGGGAGGTGAAAGCACAGCTCTGGGGATTAGTGTGACCTGCACTCCCACCCTGGCTGGGGCTGTAGCCAAAGACTCTGCCGTGAGCTATTGCTGAGTAGGTATCAGTGATGGCCAGACACTGCTGTGTGAGGTAGCCAAGGAAGCTGCACTGTGGCTCTCTGTAGCTGCTGCCAGGAGCCAACCCTTGATGACAAGCCATGAGGTGCATTCCTGCCCTAGGCAAGGCTCAAGAGAAGCCATTGGGCCTGTGAACAAGGGACTCAGTGGACTCACTGAGAGGTGCTGCACCACAGTGGACAGGGCCCATTGCTGCTTATCTCAAACCGATTATGGAACTGAGAGTGGCTGTCAGCACCTCCCCTGCCTTGATAAGGTGGGGCCCGACCCTGTGAGCAGATGTAGGGCAGTAATCCTCAGGTTCCCTGAGGGGACGCAGAGATTAGCCCGGAACGCCCTGTTCTGAATCCCTGCAGGAGCTGTTTTGAGAGCTAAACCACCACATGGATCCCCCAGCCTGTCCTTGTTGTTGTCCTCTATATGCATTGATTGCATGTAGCATCCTCTGGAGAGAGCTGTTTAGGCCAGCATGGCTCCCACAGTGATGCCCAAAGCAGTACAGCTTCTCCTTTCCTGACCGGAGTTGGTGCTTCTAGCAGTTTTCCCTGGGATTTACAGGGCCTTCATTGCCAGAAAAGAGACCATAAAATTATCCCCTCTCTTTCTCCAAGCCTTCATCCCTTGTGACTTCTAGAGGCAACATGAGTGAGACCACAACTGGGTGGGATTAGTCCTCTACTTCTCCCATGTATCCCCTAGGCCAGACAAAGACTCTCTGAAAGGGGTCTCCTTCCTTGCAGTGACTTTCAGGTTACATCTATCCTCAGCCTATGCCTGTCCAGAATGCTTGATTCTTTATATCCTCCTGGCACAGTTTTTCCTGCTTCAGGATATGATTTACCAGTTAGGATGGCCTGGTATGTCCAGGAGCTTCAGGAAGTCATTATATTGGAGTGGATGCATCTCTGTTGCAGTGCCTGGGAACACAGCTCTTGTTTGCTCTCTGCATAGTTCCCGTGCTGGCAACAATGGCCCTGGGAATGCTGGCTGCCAGGCAGTCCTTTAGTCACTCCATTGTGTCACTCCTCTGTGTGGTGCAGTGCTGAGCGACCACCGATGGGCCACAGGGTCTTTGCTGGAGGGACTTTCCTTATTTCATGTTGTTCCACTTCCCTTAAATTCCTCATCTCTCCCTGGGCCCACAGCATTGTTCAGAATGGGATCCGTGCTTTGCCTGGCATCTTATTTTGGAGCGGATGTGTGCTTGTGCTGTGACCTATGGAAGCTGTGAAGGTGACATTAACTGGGAGGCACGCATGTCCTTTCACAGCTCTGTGTGTTTGCTGCTTGGCAGCAAAGGGATGGTTTTTGTGTTATAACTTAACACATTCCTGATGAACTGAGCTACACAGGGTGGCTTTAGCTTTTTGCTTCTGCAGTGTGACAGAAGGGGAGTTAGAAACTTAGAAATTTTGCTAAAAGTCTCTCAGACAGGTAGCTTTTGACTTGAGGTGGATGTTTCTGTGGGCTTTGGTGATATAAGACCTGCACAGATTGAGTTTGTCCCTTCTGTTTTCATAAGCAATTAGCCATCAGTCACTCACTAGGGCCTGGCTGAAGTTGCCTTCCAAAACTCCAGTTTTCAAGGATTGGACTGGACCCAGCATTTGGCCAGCACTTCTGTCGAGAAGATAAGTCACTGCTCCAGGCCCCAGGGGCTGCCCATCCTTGCAGCTCCTTGCGTGCCTTGCTGGGGCCTGGCAGTGGGGACTCTGGAGCAGCAGGTCCCGCAGGAGTTGGTGTCGTGATCAAGTCACTGACCTGCTCAGCTCCTGCTCTGGGAGCTGTCAGAGGATATTAGGGCCAGGAGACCAGACTGTGTCTGTGCAATGCAATGTGCTCAAGCCTCTGTGAGTCTGGTTTCTGTCCTGAGTCTTGCTCCTGTTTGGATTCCTCTGGTTCTTGCAGGGGGCTGGCTCCCTCCTCTTGGCTTGAGCATGCTGCTCATGTGTGGCTGGTGGTGAGTGTTTGGTGAGGGGTCTTCAGTGCATAGACTTAGAGGAGAAAATTGTTTTTGTGAGCTCTTGGTCAAGGACAGACAAGTCCACAAGATCACTGCTCCCTGGGAGCCATAACTCACATCAAATGAGAAATATAGCCTGGGCTTGCCCATGGACAGGCAGACCAGGCTCCTGTTGGTAGTGGGCAGCAGGAGCTGAGTGGAGGGCAGAAAAGCGGGTACCAGAGCCCAACTTGTCACCACATTTGTGGAGTTGTACTATGGAGTTCCCTAGCCTGGTTTATGGCCTCACTTCTGCACACCTCTAGGGAGAAACAATCCAAATTGCACGTTAGATTTGACTAGTGGAGTCAAAACCTGCTGGATGGTTTTTGCAACTCACCTGGCTCTATTAAATCTCACCTAGAAGGGGGGCAGACTTGGCTAACACAGTTCAGCTGTGGCTCCACAGAAAGAAATCCACAGGCCAGAAAGTGTTTCTGCAGCCGATGATGGCTAATGCTTTTTCCAGCTCAGGAAACCTGCTGCCAAGAACAGGACAGTGTGCAAAAAGCACAAATGCCTCCTCAGGCAGGCAGCAGATGCCCCCGGGCAGCTGCCAGCAGGTTTTCTACCTGCCTTCCTACTTCAGGAAAGGACATTCCCTGAAAAGCCCAACAGTTGCTTTGACTTTCAGCCTGGGCCAAGTGGGACCTTCATCAGCTTCTCGCCTCGCCAGCTGCCATGAAAGCAGCGATGGCAGGTGTGAAATTGCAGGTGACTTGCTTGCTTCTGGCACTCCAGTGCTGTCATTTTTGGCTTTTGATGGTCTCTGAGTGGGCAGGACGAGGGAATTGCACTGAATTAGTGCCTTCTGGAGCAGGCCTTGGGTCACAGAGCACTTGGGTGAAAGGAAAGGCGTTAAAGGGGATATAGGAAACAGTTTGTTCAGGGCTTATTCCATAAGATGATTTCTGGAAAAGGAAGGGCTGCAATCAGGCAGGATGTATTCACTTTGGGATCTTGGAAAATCAAGCTCAGCCTGGCCCAAACCAAGAGGGAAGTATAGCACAGCCCACAGAGCGTGAAACAGTGATGTCCCCACTTTACCTCATCCTGAGTCAGTGCAAACGCTCCAGGATGTAAATGTAAAAATTATTTTTTAACACATGGTGCAATGCTGAGCTCACATGAACAACCAAGATATCCCACAGGGAAATGATACAATTTGAGCAGAAAGACAGTAGGAATAGTTCTGAAAAGTCCTATGCTAAGATAGAGAGAAAGGGTCCTCTCTGTTCCTCACTGTATTTCCTCCTCCTCCCTTGCCCCCGTTGGTAACAGGGTCCCAAGTCGGGCCCTGGGTGGAAAGCATGGCAGGCTGTTTGCCACAGGCTCTTTCCAGACTGGAGTCTGATCTGGATGGACCTTGAAGGCATCAGAGGAAAGCTCTGCAGATGAGTTAGGAGCTGCTGGGTCATTGTCAGAGAAAGAAAATCTTTACTACTTCACAGCAAATCACATTTGACCAATGCAACCCCTGCAAACAACCAGGTGTGGCTGAGGTTCTTTTATTCTGTTAAAGGCACTTG